CTTTCCCTGACATTTCTCATCTAATCCACCAGCTTTATCTTCAAAATCAACTCTCACCGTTTCTTACCAGCTCCATTCTCACTGCCATTTTGGTCTACGCTAGTAACATCTCTCACTAGGTTATTGCAATAACCTAACTGGTCACCCCACTTCTACCCTCACTTTTCTATAATTCACGTGTTATTGATTATTGTCATGTTATGGACTGATTGGGGTCTCCCCAAATTGTCTATGTTGAAGTCCTACTTCCAAGGAGCTGAGACTGTGACATAAATGGAAACGGGATCATTGCAGATGTGACCAGTTAAGATGAGGACACACTGAAGTAGGTTGAGGATCCCTAATCCTAGTGTCCTTATAAAGAAAGGAAATTTGGGTACAGAGAGGCATACAAAGGGACAGCACTATGTGTAGCCTGGAGGTATTGTGCCACAAGACAAGGAATGCCCAGAAGCTAGGAGAGAGGCCTGGAACACTCTTCCCTAAAGTCTCCAGCAGGAGCACAGCCCTGTCGACACCTTGACCTTGGGCTCCCAGCCTCCAGAACCATGAGACAATCAACTCCTGTTGTTGAAGCCACTGAGTCAGTGGTACTTGGTTATGGTGGCCCAAGCAAATGAATACGCTATGCTCCTCAGAGCAGCTTCAGGGGTTGTTGAAAAATAACTGCTCTGCTCGAAACACTCCTCTAGGAGTTCATCTCTCTCAAAATAAAAGCCAAGTTCTTGAAATGACATCTAAGGTTCACGTGACTTGGCTGGGGTCTTGACCTCTGCCCTTCTCTCCTCCTCTGCCCAGCTTCAGTCCCCTCCAGCCACATAGCTTCCTCAGTATATCTCAAGCAAGCTCCTGCCTCAGACCCTGTACGCTTGTTCCCCCTCTGCCTGGAACATTCTTCTCCCAGGTATCCTTCAACCTTCTTTCTGCCCTAATGTCCTTTCCAGTGAGGCCCACCCCCACCCTTACATGTCCCCTTCCCTGTTGTGTATTTCTTAATATACCTGGCCTTTCCTTATTTTTTTATCCTTCTTTCCTCACACTAGACTAGAAACTCCCTGAGAGCAGAGACACAGTTGTCAAGGTATGTACGTGAGCATTGCGAATAGCAGGTGCCCAGGAAATAGCTGCTGGGAGATTTAAGGTGGAATCAAATATGCCCACAGAAAAGAAAGTTCGAAGGAGGAGGAAGGAGGCTACTGTGTCAAAAGTCACAGAGTCCAGAGATCTGTCCAGAGACCAAGCATCTGTTAGGTGTGGCAATGTGCAGGACACAGGTGACCTTAGAGAGGGCAGTTCCTATGGAAGCCTACACAAAATCCACCAAGTCCCTGCCTGGGACTGGGCCTACTGCCCACAAGCAGAAGCCAGCCTGAGTGGGCAGGGACAAAGTGTGAGAGTAGGTGCTTCCCACACTGACCCCTGGGAGGGGAGGAGGAAAGAGAATGTGAAGTAGAAGGGGTGACGGTTTGAGGAAAGACGCTGGTGCAGGATGACTGAAGGGGGTGAGGTCCCAGGGTTACAGAAAGCAGAAGGACCCTCTGGCCAGGAGGAAGGACAATTCTTTCTCTGAGTGGAAGGAAACCAGGGTGGGATGAGCCCAGAGGCCCAGAAGAGGCAGGAACCTTAGTGGGTTCTTGCTAAGTCACTTGTTCAGTGAATAAATGACGCTGGGTTGTCTCCTGAGTAAGGAAAGATAGGCAAGGGAGGGAACTTGATGTGGGGGGGCACACTCTGTGGGATATCAGGCAAGAGGAGGTAAGGCTCCAAACAGAGCACCCCCTTAAATGTGTGTCCTACAAGCCTCGCTCACGTCAGCCCAGCCCCGGCACTGATTGGAAAGGACTGGCTCCATGCCAGCACCACTGTGGGCCCCGCTGAACTCAAGCCTGTGGTTTCACAGAGAACCGATCTGCATGGCTGTGGGATTTCCTATGACAGCCCTCAGCAGCAGGGGGTTTAGGCGTTTAGGAGGAGCGTGTTCTTAAAACTGAATTCCAGGATCTCAAAGGGCTGTACCCCTTTCTGCAAAGGTTTCATCCTCCTACCTTAATCCGAAACCTCACACTGCACTCCACTCATTCCTCCCAGTCACAAAATCGTACTTCTTATGGTAAGAGATGGCTCCCATTTGTTGGGTACCTAGTAAGTGTCGGGTGTGTTACAAGTCAAAACCTCACACAATAGTCTTAGGAAGATCTTAGCCTCACTTCATGAGGGCCACACTGGAGTTCCCAGAGATCGAGTGATTGGTGCAGGTGGCACAGGCAGAAAGTGGCAGAGCTAGGATTAAAAACCTTCCATTTGGGGCCAGCAGGTTGGCATGGTGATTGAAGTGCTGAACTCACACATGGCTGAACACGGTTCAAGTCCCAGACTCAGAGGCTTGAAAATCACACCAGGTACGTGTGTACCCAAAGTCCCTAGAGGAGAATAGAAGAGAAGGGACTGTGGTGCAGTCATTCCCTCTGAGGGTGATTTCTCATTCTCCTTCTCTCTGTCTCTCTCCAGTGAGCGTACATACCCTATGACAAAGAAAAAAAATCCTTCCATTTGTCTATATTTTCTATATACACTATCACCACCCCTGACTCCAATTCCTCAATCTGTTCTTTATTTCCTCTTTTCAAATTTTATTTATTTGTTTGTTTATTCATTGCCAGAGGACAGCATGCACTCCTTGAAGAGAGAGAGAGAGAGAAAGCACTCCCAGTGGGGCATGGTGATGCTGCAATTCCTTCTCCTTCATTCCTCCTTCCCATCAGAATTTTGGGCATGCACACGGATCCACCCCATTTGTTTTTCAAGGCTTCAAGGTGAGATTCCAGCTGTGGTCAACCATGTGGCATCCGGCTCCCCACACACTAGGCTTAACTGCATTCCAGGGCAGCCCAACATTTTATTCTTCAAATTCAACACCATACATGTATTCTAGGTCACCTTGCAGCATTTCCCATCATCAATTCATGTATCCAGAAGACTCTTCTTAGGGCATTGTTTTTTTTTTATCTATCTTGTCTTACTTAGTTGGCTTCAGAGGCTCCACCAAGGCAGGAAAATTCCAAACTCCCCAGCCATTCCTTGAGATCCTTCCTAAATAATGCACATGTCTCCCGGATGTACCCCGTGCCATTCTATCCATAAAAGTCCCCTCCTTCCCATGCACCCCCTCGAGGTCTCAATGCCAAGTACATTCCTCCCCCTGCTGCTCCACCCTTCTTGCCCCTCTGCTCCTGGTCCTTTCCCGGGCTCCACTGAGCAGTCCCACCCCAGCGTGCTGAGCAATCCCTGGCTGTCCTGAGCTCACTGCATTTGGCCTCTTTATGCAGCTCTTCCATTTGCCATTGTAGACTATGAACCTCTTGTGGGTAATTAGTAGCTGTGTTGAAAATGCTTAGAAGTGCCCATTGCTTCACATAGTGTCTTGAATGATAAATATCTGATCCATAGAATTTGGTGCTCAGGTGGTACAATTTCTCCAACCTCTCTCACCTCCCTCCCAACCCCCAGAAAACAAAGGAGAATGGAGATGAGAAAGGAAAGAGACCTTACTCACAGCTATTCTTCTTCTTCTTCTTCTTTTTTTCTCCTAAATGAAGATGGTTTTGTTTGTTTATTTTTGCCATAGGGCGTGTGTGCTCACCAGAGAGAGACAGAGTGAGGGAAAATGAGAAATCAGCCTTGGAGAGATGGTCTTCTCCATTTTTCTCTTGGGATTTTGGACAAGCACACACAAGTGCCCGGAGTGATTTTCAGGTCACTAGGTCTGGGACCCAAACCATGGTGGGCCATGTAGGAGTTCAATGCCTTAACCATCTTAATAAGGAGAAGGGCAACAGGACTCAGCTCTCCCCTCCTTTTCCTACACCCTTCAAGGTCTTGGTGTCCTTCCTTAGCCTTTCGTATGCTTTTTCATATGTGTTTTCTTCCTTCTTCGAGGGAAGACAAGAACCTGAAAAATCCGGCTGAGCAGAGAAGCTCAGAAAAGCCAAGGCTGGGCACCCAGATGTAGGAAAAAGAACATTCTATTTCTGGGAAATCAGAATTAATCTACTATAGTCATAAGCTATGGACCACCACCCCACAGTTCTGAGATTTCCAGAGTCACAGGGAGGATGCCTGGGAGAAGTGAAGGTCAACAGAGACCTCAAGGGCCATGCAGTTACCCCACACCAACAGAAGGACAGCCTGAATAGCAAGGACCAGATAGCAAGAGAAAACCATGGGGGTCAGCCGGTGCCGCCTTCCCAGATGTCCAATAAGAAATCAAGACCTACCCAAACCAGTGGCAGCAAAGGGGATGGGGGGAGGGGGTGGTCCTCAGGACTTAGCTCCGGAATCAGGCCTGGGATCGAATTCTGACTTGGTCACCCAGTAGCCGTCCAACCTTAACTTCTCTCTGTTTGGTTCTGTATAAGCAAATGTGAGGCCTGAATGA